CGCCTCCTTGAGCTCTGACACGCCTCCTTGAGCTCTGACACGCCTCCTTGAGCTCTGACATGCCTCCTTCATACTCCATCCAGACCCACACTGGGACATGGGTCCCACTTGATGATAAATTGGAGGCGTGTGACTGATGGGTTATTGTTAGCATTATTAGCACTCTAACACAAGCCCAACAATTGGAGAGATAGCAAAAGAATATGCTGAGACTGAGCTACTGTAAAATAAACTTAAAGTAAATGAGATCTTCTAGAGCCTCAGTACTGGTGCTACAGGAGGCAGCAGCAGCGGTGTGCAAGCCATTCAGAAGCTGAACGCACCACTATCAACGGTTTACATAGTCTTGATTTGGATCAATGGACCAATATTATTTCTTTAATAATCCAACCATTATAATTACATAATAATCTTAATTTAAATAACTTAAATTGAAATTAAACCACTGTGCCTCCAGTGTGTGAATGGTTAGTTAGTCTTGGTGGGCAGGTGGCCCCTTGCATGGTGGTCCCTGCCATCAGAGTGTGAATGTGTGTGAATGATGACATGTAGTGTTAGATCTTTGACAAGTACAAGTCCATTTAGCATTTATGTTCCCTTCAATAAATACGTTCCGTTTCCTTGTATCACTTCCTACATGAGGCCCATTGCGTATTAGCCGACCCTCCTTCACTTGGTTTTGTGGTGAGGGAAGTATACCCATGTTTCTGGGTAGTGTAGTTCCACAGATGTGTTTTGAATAACTCCATTCTGTAAGTGTAACCTCGCACTGATTCTCTGCAGGCTTTGAGTCTGTAGTGTGCTCACACTGGAACCAGTGACACAATGAAGTAGACTCTAAACTGTCCTTATGTGCTGCTGATGGACAGCCTTGTCTCTAAAGGGAATGGAGGAGCTGCTCACAGCTGCAACATATCCATCAAAACAACAAGCCTATCTATATTAGTATATACAGTAGATATGGATTGTGTATGCAGTTAGTATGTAGTATAGAACAGAGAAACAGTCCAACTTCAGACAGCGCTGTGCCTGACAGCACCAGAGTGATAACCAATGACTAAGACCCGATGTGTCCATATGTAAGTGGGAAGGTTCCAGCGATTAAGAAAGTTAAGTAGCACGTTAAAACACCCACACTGGTGCTGCTAGCTGATTAGGTCTCTGTTCATGTTGAGGCATCGTGGAGTAACCATGGCTCTGCTCATCTGTGTGGTATTTTGGGGTCCAGTGCAGAGTGCACGGTGCACGGTGCACAAGAGAGAGAGGTCCATTCAAATGAGGCGAATGTTGGAAAAGTGTCTTCGACTTTGAGCTGAGAACAGACTTCTCGTGACATCTGTTTGTGGTGCAGCATCCCTTCACTGCCACGGCAAACCAAACGCACAAGAACAGAAGAATGCTTCAGATGTAAGTCAACTATTTGAATTCAACATTCCCAAACCAGTAGATGCATTTACATCAGGGCCTGTCTCGGGCTCAGTGCAGCGTGAGACTCACATCATGGCAGAGAGAAGGAAACATTGTAGAACTCTGATCGTCTCAAACACAATAAAACCCTCACAAGTAACTTTATCACAAGATGTGACCAACAAGCCATCAGTCTGTTTGTGGAGCAGCCGTCAGGTAACGGTAGCGATGTCATACGTTAGTGATGTCATACGTTAGTGATGTCATACGTTAGTGATTTTCTTTTATGTTCACGGTATTTGATGGGATCATTGCTCTCATCAATGAACACATTTTACATACGCATAACATACTTCTATTTTGACCAACAGGAAGTCAGCCATGTTGGATTTCGTGGACGTAATTTGGACTGGACTATCTACATGTATATTAGAGCGAGTGAAGTGATGTGTCACAGTCATAACATCATAAGCGATCATGGGTGGGAGTGATGGAAACGACGGTCCTGATCTTTAGATATGGACTTCTTCATGATACAGCACGTAGGAAATCATGACGCGGACCACTTTGAGAATCCCTGGTGTACAGTACCTGTGCAGAGGAGGCCGTCCTTGTAGTAGAGGGCGTATACTCGAGCGCTGTGGCCAATGAGGGACGACGTCTCGAAGGCCTCCTGATCCTGCAGCTGCACCCTACGCAGTTTGGCCTTCAGGTAGACCGCCTTCCAGTGTGGCGCGTCCTGAATGTTCTCATCGATCCTCCAGCCCAGCTCCCGACACACACCCTGCCACACCTCGGTGCACGAGTTGATCACCTACAAGGAGACAAGCGCTTGTTGGAACACTTTAGACACGGGTATGGATGAACACTAGAAGGATGAGCTGATATACACTACTTGTTAGTTTCTTTACATTGTTTTGTAAACGTGGTGTTTAGATTCTGGCTTTGCCTATAACATTATACCAGCTCTTAATTATCATAATCAGAATCAGCTTTAATGGCAGAGTAAGTGTCAACACCTGAAAGACATTAGTGAAAGATGCTTAATAAGATTACCATAAACATGTATACCAGAGGAAATCATATGATGTAACAGCCCCCAAAGCAGCAAAGCGTCACACTATCAGGTTGTGACGTGAATAATCCATCTGGCTCCGACATCGGCCAATATCTTTAACGGCAGCGTAGAGCACGGCGGCAAATGCTTCACGATGCTCAACAACAAACTTATGACAAGTGGACGGCCCCAAACAACACATCCCAACTACAGACATTACTGAGCGGCTCAAAGGAGCCAGCAGTCATAGACAGACTCTGAACCACAGACGTATGTCCTGCTACAGCATGGCCCACCACCTAACAGCTACAACGAGTCACCACTGCCGCAGGAAAAACCCCAACACCCCAAACGGCTGGGTGAAGGCCTGGTGATAAATTAGAAGGTTACTCTAAATTTTGGCATTCAACTGGCTTTAAAAAATATCATGTAACTCTGTAAAAATAGTGCCAATTCCTGAGTTTCTCAACAAATACACAACTATTTAGCCATACTTTGAGATATAAGCATATCTAATAACATTCAATAAAACAGCGTCACATCGGCAAGACTACATCAAGACCTATCTGATGGAACAATAATACAAGTCAAAACTCTGTGCTACGGGCACATTTCCATCAAAGTAATAGAAGAAGAAAGTTACCACGATACCTCGCCTTTACACTTTATCTTATCCACTTTGTGTCTTTGAGCTTTTTGGAAAGCGCACCTTAAATAAAATGTACACACGTGGACAAAACTGTTGGTACCTTCCGTTAAAGACAGAAACACCCACAATGGTCACTGAAATAACTTGAAACTGACAAAAGTAATAATAAATAGAAATGTACTGAAAATGAACTAATGAAAATCAGACATTGCTTTTGAATTGTGATTCAACACAATCATTTAAAAAAAACATACTAATGAAAATGACCTGGACAAAAATGATGGTACCCTTAACTTAATATTTTGTTGCACAACCTTTTGAGGCAATCACTGCAATCAAGTGATTTCTGTAACTCTCAGTGAGACTTCTGCACCTGTCAACAGGTATCGTGGCCCACTCCTCGTGAGCAAACTGCTCCAGCTGTCTCAGGTTTGAAGGGTGCCTTCTCCAGACTGCATGTTTCAGCTCCTTCCACAGATGTTCAATAGGATTTAGATCAGGGCTCATAGAAGGCCACTTCACAATAGTCCAATGTTTTGCTCTGAGCCATTCGTGGGTGTTTTTAGCTGTGTTTTGAGTCATCATCCTGTTGGAGGACTCATGACCTGCGACTGAGACCAAGCTGTCTGACACTGGGCAGCACATTTGGCTCCGTTTGGCCTTGGTAGTCTTGAGATTTCATTGTACCCTGCACAGATTCAAGACACCCTGTGCCAGATGCAGCAAAGCAGCCCCAGAACATAACCGAGCCTCCTCCATGTTTCACAGTAGGTACAGTGTTCTTTTCTTTCTATGCTTCATGTCTGTGAACATAGAGCTGATGAGCCAAAAAGCTCTAGTTTTGTCTCATCTGTCCAAAGGACATTCTCCCAGAAGCTTTGTGGCTTGTCAATATGCTTTTTGGCAAATTCCAGTTTCAAAACTGGAGCTTTTTGGCAAGTCACATCAGCTATGCAGAACATCCGATTGAATATTGAAGAACCCCCCATGACCCATGCACCACATTCACCTTGTTCCACTGTTTGCAGACCAGGCAGCAGGTGAGCAGGGTCTCAGGATCCAACCATTGCATCAGGTAGAAGGCCAGCTCCAGGGGGAGGAGGCGCAGGAAGTCGCGCTTGAGCAGCGTCTCCAGCCCATTAGACAGATGACGGAGCTGGACGGCACCGCTTTGAGAAATGAGGTGGTCCAGAGACTGGTTGCGCTGCTGGTCGTTCAGAGTAAGGAAAGTGGCAGAGACTGACTCCAGCCACCTCTCGAAGGCTGCTTTCTCCATGGGACCATGAGAGCAACCTGCAACACCTGCAGGACAAAGCCGACGTGAAAGAAGGTCTTGTCTTTGAGGCTATAACAAATGTATGACAGTTTTACTTAAATACAATCTTAATTGATTGGTTTATAATCATTCTAACCTGTACGTTTGTAAATATGTTGTTTAACTAACAATCTCATTCCATAAAAATGTACAATAGATGCAATATGTTAAGTGAATAAATATCTTGCAGCTGTAGATGATCATGGAGCTATTCTATCGGCACTATCAGCATTGTTTACATCTGCAGACCAAATGCGGCTTTTTCTTATTTTCCATATAACATAACACAATACAATATAACTTGAGCATATTTCTAATAAATTGTACTGTACAGTGTCTTCACCTGATGGCACAGAAACAAACATTTGACCATTTCCGCCTGTTCTGTTCTGTGTAATAATTTGAAGATGTGTCCATCATAAATGAAATTTAACAAATGACCATTTTAAAATGCATTATCATTTAAATCATCTATCAAGTCAAATTGCCAAACATTTGCTGGTGACAGATTTATGCCGTCATCTTTTCCTCCGTTCCCTGGGTTACACATCATTGCAGTTTAACACGCTGGGCTTCCTTCACAGCTGCTCACACAGAACCAGCATTCACAACATGTTACATTGTTTCAGTGTGGAGGCTTTATGACCAGGAATTCATCACACTGACCAATTTGTAATAGTTTCATGAGCTAGAAATGTAGCCAGAGAGAATACTATGGAGACGTGCTGGATAGTAGATACATTGACTCGTGGTTTAGTAACATTACTTGAATAGCTGTACTAAAGTGCTGTCAATCATATCAGGTAGTTAGCATTTGCTTGTACACTCAATCCAAGTTAGCTACCTGGCTAGTTAGCAACTTTTGTAGCAAACGTTAGCTGAGTAACGTAACACTACTACAATTTAATAGCAAATTAGCTACGACTAGTAACATCCAAAACAATCAATGAACAGTACGTGCTACCGCTAGTAAATAAAGTTACAATTAAACATGTAAACTCGAAGTGTCCACCAACCAGAGAGTTGCAGGGAGTTTCTTTATCGCCACTTTCCTGGCTTAGTTAGTTCACATAGCGAAGTTAGCTGTCGTAAGCTAACCTGTCAGCAGGCAAGTTGAAAGGATTGTCCAAGTAACCTAGCTTCTTAGCTATCGCTAGCTAACCACCATGATGTGAGTACTTGATTCTGTTAATAGTGAATTACATAGTATCCCTAATAGATTAACGGTAGTCTTCATTTATTCAGTATTCATTCCTCAAGCAGGGAGTGTTTGAGTAGTAGTGTAGAAGGATAGCAGTTCTGTTCTGACAGCATGAAAACCAAAAGATAATGGAAACGCTATTGACACAGGTTTACTTTACCATCAGCGTTGTCTTACAGGAGAGGCCGTAGGAGTATTTAATTATTCTCCAAAAACAAATAGACATATTTAGAAAATGACTACTACATTCCTTCCGCATACATCTGCTACACTGACAAATTAATGAAATGTTTGCGTTTTAGACGGTAATTGCCTTGGATTTTTTTTCTAGTCATAGGTCCTAACTCGTCTGTAAGACAAAGCTGCGGGCGTCGTTTCTCAAAATACACAGGTAAACTAGCTTCCGGTGTTACGTACAATGTGGAACGGTGAGAAATATGTGACCGAGGCTAGTTTGGTCACTCCTGCTGGTTCCTCAGCGGCGACATAGGTGGTCTATGGTCATTGTGGTTTATCTCAGAGTGTAGTGGAACCAAATTATCATACGCTGCCAGCAATGCACGGACGACTTTTTTCAGACATATTAAATCACGCGAGATAAGAGCATGTCACGAGCACAGTAGATTACTGAAATGTGATGAAGAACTATTACCACCAGAGGGCAAACAAATAACGAACAATAATTCTCACATGTAAAGTATATTTGTTATGAACTAACATTAAATATGTAATTATAATCAAGTTAAAAACGATAAGTAAAAAATGAAAATGTCATATTTACCTGTTAATAATTTCACTTCCTCATCCAGCGTTGAAATTATGAATTGATCATTGAAATTGAAGTGGAATGGCTAGATTAGTTGTTTTTTTTAAATACTATACAATTGTACTTTTTGTTATTCCATTCCTGTTTCCTGCATTAACTGCTGCAGTTCCCACCCTGTGTTCACTGTAATGTTTAAAGATGACACTCATCAATCAGGACTTAACCTGTTTATAACAATGGAAGCCAACATGGCAGCGAGATGCATGTCAGTCTTGACCGATTTTATGCCTAAATTAGCTGCCATATCTCGTATCATCTCGTCACATGATCAAGAGACTTGACTTAGGACAACATTAACATGTATAATAACCAGCAATCATCATTGCATATCTGTATGTGACAGAAATACCAAAGAAAATAAGATACCATTCATTTAATTCAATTATTTTTATACTTTATTTGTAATTTTGTATAGTTTATGTACAATAACCACATTTTTATTATAGATTGAACCTACACTGTCTATATTTAGGACCCTGGAACTATGTGTTCTAGATGTAAAGCTAAATAGTTTGTTATAAATTACATAATTTCACCAAAAATGTCCGGGTATGAGGGCGAGGCTTAGGTCAGAGTATGTATTCCTTTGTTTCCCCGAACAATTCACATTTCTGGGCTTGTGTCCAAATCTTCTGGCTAATGCTGGAGTTCTGGTGAAGTGGGGGACTGCTCTGGCTCCCTTCTTACACCTCTTTGTGTCTGTCATGGAAGGACAACCTGGCGAATCAACCTCAACTTTCACTTTCTCCCTGGGCCTCATTGGCATTTGTTAGGGACAATAGTCACTCCGATAAGCTGTACTTTATATTGATGATGATGATGATGATTGACAGTTCCCTCCTTCACTCAGACGTCAGCATGAACCCTTTCTGTACCAGTAGACACATTAAGCTGCTGGGGGCCCCAGGCAGAAATACACTGCACGGCCCCTACAGTATTTACCCCCTACACCTGAGGGAATGAATACAGCTTTGCTTCTGGTTTTAAAACTAGAAAAACTTCTGGAAATATAACTTTCTGAGAAACTATAGCCACCAATAACAGTTTCTGGGTACATTTGGAGAGACTAACAGTTCAGCTCATTCTATTTATAACTAACAGTTTAAACGTGGTGTTCAGATGCTTCAGACGCTTAAAAGGTGGCAGTCAGCATCCAAACCCTCTGGGTCATTTATGAATGAACTATGATTAGATTTAAGGTGCTGCTGACAGTGTATCCACTGAAGTAGGAAAAAACAGAAGCATCTGCTGAGCACAAACATATCCCTGATTACACAGTCATAAGTCTGTGTTGTTCTGGAGATATGGCACAGACAGTCATATCCTGATGAGCTCATCATGGTCAACAGGAAACTTGTTCAAAACGCTGACCCCAAAAAGCATGTCAGGAGCGTTGTCTTTCATTCAACATAATGGGTGACTAATAGATGGTGGTAACTTGCCAATAATGTTGCTCACTCCAAGTGCGGTTCACCACTCCATCCGTATCTGTCACTGATTAGGGAGGAACCTCCCAAGGACAGAACAGCAGATCCGCTACAGCGGCCTATTCCCTCTGCTGTGTTTAGCGTGTCTCATGCTGTGTTTAGCGTGTCTCATGCTGTGTTTAGCGTGTCTCATGCTGTGTTTTTGCACAGCTTGTATTCGTGTTACTTCACGTACTGAAAGAATATCCAATGCAAGGACTCAGTCTGAGTGTTATGGTATGTTTTACCGCTTGACTGGAAGTTGTTCAGTGATAAAACAGTTGCAGGGAATGAACTGCTGTCTGTCATGTACTAGTGAGCAGCTTCAGATACCAACTTGTCTTCATGGGCAACATGTTCTCACGCCCAACTCTTCAGTACCCACCCTTGATCAGTTGCCCTGCGCTTCAAAACTTTGACGCTCTACATTCCCCTCTAAGGTCAGTTGTGGATAAGTGGCACAGTCACAGGAAACATACAGTTTCTGCTCGTTACATGCTTACATGCTGATTGGGGAGTCACAGCTAAACCCAGGTCGCTGTGCAGCAGACAAGTTATACAGCAGATAACCAGCTCAAGTTCAAAGCATGACTCCAAACCTTTGATCGTTGAATTTCATCTTCTTCCTTCTGGACCGGTGTTTATTATCCCATGGTGTAAACAAAGTGGTATAAAAACAGCTTTGCTCCAGCAGCCATCACTCAGATGAACAAGTCGTAGCAACATTGTACAGATTTACTTGAGTGTCTTTTGTGATTTAGTGGGGCCTTGAGTATTTTTGTCATGTTAGTCTATTATCTGTGTTGTTTGTAAAATGTGTCAGAATGGATACTGTCTACTGCAAACCAAATCTACCTATGGGTACAAATATATTCACCTGAACCTGAACAGTATCTTTTCAAAATAAACTTCCAATGTAGATTTGTGACAAAATGACTTGGTTCAGGAAAAAATTGTGGTTTGGGTTGTTACATAAAAGTGCTTGTTACGTAAGTTTTGTTTTGTTATGTACACTACTAACGCCAGTTACCGTACAAGTGCACATTTTTACGATTGGTAGTAATGTACATAAGTTATGTAACACAACTAAATTAAAATAAGTCAGCCGTGACTTGGTTTTACATGGGACACAAACAGCTCTCTCCTAGGTGAAAGTCCCTAGTTTGTTTCACTGGCCTGCAGTGCTGTAGAAATTCATGGTCCATGGAGGATCCTAGTACACAACCCCATTCATTGGTCAGTTGCAGGATAGTAGATTTGGCAAAGGCAAATGTATCAATGAACCACTCATCTCTCCTCCAACCCTGCCATCAGACCAATACTTCCACACACTTCCACTTTTTCACATTTAAAAATCTAAAGTGCAGGTTGCCATTAAAATTTACTGTAACTTTTATGCTCCCAAAAGATGAGCCATCCTCTGGTGTCACCCTACCCTAAAACTACCTCTCACTTGATTTATTCAATTTAAATTATGGTCCCATTTTGTGTAAAATAGACTACAATGTAGGGTATGCTTTATGGCGGGGCTACCTTATGATTAAAAGGTTGCTACCATGGAGTTGTCCGTGTTTTCGTCTTAGAACTTTAACCCTTTTGACAGTGTGTTTTCAGTTCATGGAAGTTAATTGTAACTGCTCAGCGTTCGGTCGTACTTAGCTCCAACCTCTCAAGTCACTTCTGGTTGCAAAAAAACTTAAATGCCTAAACAGCCTAAAACAAAGATGGCGACAGTCAAGCCTTCAAAATCATAGACCACAATTTGGCCAATCAGATCAAAATCACACATTCCTGGCAGATTACTTTAACGTGAACACTGTTTACCTCTTGATCATTGAAACAGAGGTTACAATGATTGTTGATAACTTTCCAGATTTGTAAGCCTACAAAGTCACAGATCTACAGTATTACACAAGCTTCGCTTTTTTGATTGTATTTCATCTTCTCACTGCTACGTGAAGCATCACACCACCAAAGACCCTGGTGGTTTTTAACCCTGTGCTATTTTCTGGTTGAATGCCTGTCTAGAGTTTAATATGATTCATACGTTTACCCAAATGCACAATGCACAATATCCTGATCATGTGCCAGTTATTATAGGTGACACAAAGTTCATGGGTGCAAATCTGTCCGTTGGGCCATCGGGTGTCAGGCACAGCTGTTGTTTCGGCAGGGGTGGGGGGGTGGAGGGAGTAAAAGGGGGTAACAAGTCTCTAACAAGCTAAGTGATGGATGTCTGACTGCTAAGCTCCATGCTACAAAGGAGCCATTAAAGCTGCTGAAGACACTAAAACCCGTCCTGGATTCACTGGA